CTCCCCTCACAGTAAATGATGGTTATTAGGATTATTAAGATCACCAACCCCTCCCCTCACAGTAAATGATGGTTATTAGGATTATTAAGATCACCCAACCCCTCCCCTCACAGTAAATGATGGTTTGTGTGCAGCATACCCCAAATCAAAATATGGGAGCAATTTGAATATTTATTGTTCTGTACTGACTCGCGAATGACTAGCCTCTCGTAAATGCGAAAATGCTTTTATGTCACATGAACACGAGGCCAGTCAGTTGATAGTCGCACAAAGCATCCAATAGTTATTCAAATTGGTCATCATATTTTGATTCTGCGCATACTAACGTTCAAAGGAATGCAAAGTAAAGTAAGTTGATTTAGACAGGAGTAGGATTAGGAGAAGGATGAGAAGGATGACGATTGTTAAGTAGAGGAGCAAGTCGAAGATGACGAGCAGCAAGTACCATTTTGCCAGTCCATAACTTGCGTAACTCCCCTCGCACCCAGCCAATGACTATTCCAGTGGTGAGGACACATGGTACTAAATACAACAGGGCAGGTTGTCCTTGCTTCATGAGGAACAGGGCGACGAAGGTTAGTATTAGACCAACACCATATGCTAGAGATCAATACAGAAGAATCACAAATAGGATCAATCCACTTAATCTCTTCTTAGAAGAGATAACTAGCTAAAAACTAGTGTGAGCTGCGTCGGTGTTTCTAATGAAACAGTAATGATAAAAGGGTTAATTATACACCATGAAAAGATGAAAAAACGGATGCCAGTCCTTCTTCAGAGTAAAAGACTTCGAGTTTTTTCATCTTTTCACAGTGTAAAATTTACCCTTGCACTTGATAATAAAATATTGGACAGATCAAACCACAGGCATTGAATGAGATCAGTGCCAGTCCTCTGATCTTGTGACTAAGGAAGGGAAGCATGGGTAGCATCGCAGTGGAAGCACTTAACTCTCACCAAGGCAACCTGGGTTTGATTCCCAGACTCAGTATCAAATGTGAGTAGAGTTGTTTGATGGTTCTCTCATGTGCTTTGAGGGTTTTTCACCAGGTTCTCCAGTTTTCCTCCCGACACAAAAATCAATTTCTAAATTCTAATCTGATCTATTAGTAGCCTTATCAAGTGGGCTGCAAAACCTGTTAGGCTTTCCATCCACTATGAAGTAGTGTAGAATGGGATAATCACTATTGCACCATTAATTTTTCGAAATGCTTGTCCTTTGTTGGTTGCCCCCATCCCCTTATCTCAAAGCCTTTGGAATGAAATTAAAATTTAGAACCGTGCATGTACAGTACAGCGTCTTACCTATTGATGTGGCAACAAAGTATATCTTATAAGGAGTTTTCTGCATGATATCAAATGAATGACAAAATCCAACATATAAACCTGACAACAACAACAAAAATTATTATTATTATTTAACAATTATTCGCCAAAGGCGAAGTGAATATGGGGAAATATTTACCGAGACTCGAGTCTTCGAGTGGCGAGGTAAATATTCTTGGATATTCACTGAGGCTGAGGCAAATAATTGTTTTAGTATAAATACACAGGTGATTCTTTCAAAAAAAGAAGGAAAAAAAAAGATAAAAGACATTTTTTTCTGGTAACAGCAACAAAGCGGCTGGCTGCGGATTATCGCTGGAGGTGATTATCGTGTGATAGTGTGAGTTTCTTGACTAATCAGCGCGCGAGATTTTCAATAATCACCTGCGTATTTTTACTAAAAACTATTAATTCCACTAATAGTTCAAATTAGACTGAGATACTGTAGCGTAACATTTTTCACTTTGGTTCAGAATTAATTTTTGACCACTGAAAAGTAATTAATATATATATATTTAATATAAATAGTAGGAATATGGTGCACATATATATATACTGTCAGTGATAGAAACACACTGAGTGCTGTAGAGCGAGAGAGAAGTCCTAGAGAAACATGAGCTATAACTGAGTGTTACTATTATAGCGTGAAGGCATTTAACTCATGAAATAAAAATGTAAGTTAAAATAAGTTAACATCAACTCAAACACTATTGGATAATTTAATGTAAAAAATTTTGTCGAGGTGGCCTTGGTTGGTAAAGGTCGTACTGTTAATCCTTCAATTTATATAATAATAATAATAATAATAATAATAATAATAATAATAATATATATGGCTTATATAGAGCTTATACAAGTCTGTTTTAAGGGCTTGGTAACATAACGTTAAAGGAATAAATAAATAAGATAGATAATATTATGATTATAAAGAAAAAGCTAACTTATATAGACAGAGACAACACAGATTTAGTGACAGTAACTAGTAACATACCTGGTACAAGTATATCCCCAAACCCCAATAATGAATATGGTCGTACGCAGACAGATAACACAGACTTGGTCAATCTTGGTATTTTGAGCACCATCGGCAGCTGTTCTTTATGATCCCCGCCTAAAAACAAAGATATAATAATGAACAACCAAATGACTATGAGAATGACGGACAGTGTTAAGGCCTCATGGTGCAATGAGTTGCCATATAATGAAAAAGCTGCAGCTAAGAGATGAACTTTGTTTCTTTGTGACTTGGGTTCGGTCATAGACTTAGTGTCAAATGCGAGTACAGTAGTTGCTTGTTGGTTCTCTTCAATGTTTTGAAGATTTTTCTCCAGGTACACTGGTTTTCTCTCTTTGCAAAAATCTGTTTCTAAATCCCAAGGGCCACAGATTTTTTAGCCACTGGCTATGTAGAGCAGGTGTATGTTGCGTCATAGCCGTCATCTTGGTTGACGATAACAAAGCGTTCCTCATCAACTTCTCTTCTTAGATTGACCAAGATGGTGGCTGTTTTAATGTTATTCGTATCTCAAGGGATTTTGAATCACATGGTTGCACACACTCTATACAACTAGGACTGTCCATTTTCAATACTAGTTTAGTTTGAGAGAAGTCTTTGATGCATGTGTAATGTCTTCGGGATCTCCAGTTGTCATATTTCCAAAAAATTCAACTTCAAATCGTAATTCTTTTTTTTTTTTATTTAGTAACATTGCACAGGCTGGGAAAAGACTCGAAGTTCATGTGAGCTCAGCCTGAGACAAGATACGTGTACATAAACTGAATAAATAAATAAATAAATACCTGTTGCAACCTCTACCATGACACTCTTGCCGCTGGCGGAGAACAGTGGAGTAATGAACACAAAGAAGATGTCGTAGATTAGCAGAAGAACCAACAGAATAACACACACTTTTAGATTAGGTAGACGAATATTCTTGATCAGACTGATACAGAACGCAATGCCAAGGATATCTTGTAAGATCCATGCATAACTGAAAAAAATAAAATGAAATATTAACACACCTTTAAGATATTGAAAAACAAAGCTAATAGATAATAGAATAAACATGTAATACGAATCTTTATCCATAAAAATGAAAATGACAACAGGTTGTACTATAAAGTCTTGCATTTTTGATTGCTACTGAATCACCCATACCTGTCGGCTATTTCTAGTAGGTATATATCAAATCAATGATATAATTAGTACAGAATTTGAAAGAGTGAACCTCAGCTGCATTTTGCATTGATCTTACAGTGTGACTACTATAGTGCAGTTTTTGTGTGACTGTGAAAAGCTCAGTGCCGTAAGCGTGACGTGCCGTGACCTTGACTATTTTTTACTTTCTTTATTAGTTGAAACTTGCAAATTTATTTATCATCCATTTTGTATTGTTAAATATATATTAAGAGTGCAAATAACGATGATGATGATGATGATGATGATTATTATTATTATAGCTCTTAGCACAAATAAGCTCTTGCTAATAATCAATAATAATAACTAATAGATATTGCCAAAAAGAAGAAGTGCATTACTACCAACCTTGCATTTCTTTCTATCCCCCACCATATTGCTATCGCCATACAAAACAAGGCAAGAACAATAAGCCTGACTTGGGGTTCATGTTTGAATATTGGTAGTTTATTTGGCGGCACTTTGCAGCTTCCTGGAATAGTGAAACAAGAACATAACTAAAATTGAACTCCATTACTTATCTTTTAGCATACCATTTCAAATACTGGCCATTATAAGTAAGGTACAAGGATGACGTAGCAATACTGTAGTGCACTCAGGGTCTCAGTTTGATTCCTGGTACTTAACATGTGAGTAGAGTTTGTTAGGTTTCTCCCTTGATTCAAGGAGGTCTTCCTGGGTATTCCAGATTTCTGGGTATTACAGATTTCCTTCTTTCACAAAACCAATCCAGCTAAATTTCAATTCAATCTGTGAGTTAGCCATGCCCTGACTTAGATCAACCCAGAAGTTGTTTCAGGGTTTGATCTGTGAGTTAGCCATGCCTTGACTTAGATCCGCCCAGAGGTTGTTTCAGGGTTCAATCTGTGAGTTAGCCATGCCCTGGCTTAGATTAACCCAGAGGTCGTTCCAGGGTTGGATCTGTGAATTACTGTACATGTAGCTGTGCCTTGACTTAGATCAGGAACTGGAACTTTGAATAGCCATAGTGCTATTCAAAGGATAAATCCTTCTCGAGTTGATAAGACGATGCTGTTATCCATCAATAAATTTACCCACGTAATAGGATTTATCCCTCAGATAGCGCTATCCACCCTTCATACGACCAAGCCCTTGTGTATGAGTGACTGACAAACAATGCTTGCTTTATGATTAAATTATGGCCAATCATACTTTGGTCTACAACTTACCTAATGGAAGGCGTAGGACGATGGGAGTTAAACACTCAAACAGTCCATTACATGATGCCAGGACAAACAATACTATTATCACCACGACTAAGTACTTGTAGAAATAGAATAGCAGGAGCAGAAGACCACATATCAGGAGTACGAACACTAGGACCATTAATGGTGTTACTTGGATGGACCCAGATTCATCATCGTTGACATCACCACCTTCAACACCATCTTCGCATGCATTTTGTCTTCGCAGATGTCTTGATCTGAAATGAATAGGTTATGTTATTCATTAGTATTATAATGTCCTTTTTTCATGAGGGTAGCACTTAATAGCCAGTGGCTAACAAACCTATGGCCCTCATTCCATGATCAAATTGGAATTTAGGAGTTGATTTTTGCGGAGGGAGGAAAACCAGAGAACCAGGAAAGCCCTCGAAGCACAGGTTAGAAGAGAACCAACTAACAACTCTACTCATATACAACACCGTTCCTGGCAGGACTCGAACTCGGGCCGCATTGATGAGAGGTGAGCGCTCACACCGCTACGCTACACTAGTATTCAACATTTTATAAATGGAATCAATATTTAGATCGAGTAGAGCCTGCTAGGTAATGGAGATTTCATTAGAACAAAAATATGATTAATCCTTTGTGGATCTCTACTTTACGTACACAATAGCTTTATTAGCAATGCCAGTCCAATACGCTCCCATAACCACTGTACCAACAGCCAGTATCCAGAGTACTGCTATATTACCATCGATAGCCTGGCCAGGTGGTTGGTAGAGCTGTACTTTGACACCTTTACCAAGGTTCTGAAATAAGTACAGTACAGTTACTGTGATTCCCAGTCACACACGACCAAGTGAGACCAAATCACAAACGAAAAATTGAGTTTTGGTTGGACATCAATCAAAAGGGTTTCTTAAATATATCTAAGGATTCCGACTCCGAATTTCAAACGTTTAACTGCAAACTATCAGTATTGACTTATCCTATCTTGAAGAAACTCAAATCATAGCCATAGCGATAGCTTTGCCATCAAGCGTTAAGATTCGGAGCCGGAATCCGGAGCCGGAGTGAGAAATTCACAGCTACGAGAAGCATGAGATAAGGACAACAATTTTTGCACATTTGCACATGTTCACGTGAGTATTCACATCAGTCCTGGTGTAGAAACCAATAGAAACGATAGAAATCCTTTTGATTGACGTCCA